AGTAACCAACATTTACTGCCATTTTTGTATAAGATAAAACAGGATAAGATGTACTTTATTGATCCCAATTTGGGAAATGTTTGCGTTGCAGCAGCATAAAACACAACACATAAGAGGAATTAAGAGTAGAAAAAAACAATTCTAAAATGTAAACATCTCAAAATAGAAATAAAACGGCAATAAAAAAAGTAGAAAATATACACGTTGAAATCCCAATAATTACAGTAAACAAAATATAAAGCAGGATATTATATACATTAAGTGTGTGAGGAATGGAATATTGAATTAAATAAAGGTGTAAAATGAACAGTATGAGTTTAAGTCCAGTTTATTTTGTACTTTTACATCTGTAGTTACATCATGGAGATCAACATTTTCAGTTCAGTTTATAAAGTACTAAAAGTTGTACTGAAAAACTTATGAATATCTAAGAAGGCATTTTATTAATACAAATGTAGATTCTTCAACTCTTCCTAGCTTTGTGGCTATACCAGGCTAACCACCTTGATGCTATGATGCTGCTAGAAGTCTCTACACACTGACACACTGCTGGTTTCCACCTGCAGTTTTATTTGACCATATCTTAACAAGCTAACAAGGTGGCAGGAAACCAAACGCAGGTTGTGTTCGCTCTGAAGTCCTACGGGAACGTCAGGAGACTGTGTTTTTATATTCGCTGCCAACACGTCTTAGTTCTCGCAGCACGTATCCCTGCCCTCGGTGTGGTCTGACACCCGCTCAGATCCCAGTATCAGCTCTCCTGTCATGGGAAGACCGATTTAAAAACACACCATTAGTCTTTTCTCAGAGGAGAGAAAGCAGGCTTTATATGAGATCAAATCAAACAAGCCTAATTTGGCTCTGGTTGCTGAGAAGGCCCCGCTATTCATGTGATGCTGTCATCCACATCAATGGTATCGATCCGCTTTGTTGTTTCTCCGATTGATCACGAGATAAAGGGTTTATTCTCGGAGAAGAAGAGCATGTGTGTCTCTGTCTTCTTCTGTGATTGTTTTCTGATTGACTGTCACAATGCAGCTATTTCTGGAGGATTTACACACACCGCTCCGTGTCTTTCTGTGATCAAAGACATCATTATTTTGTGTGTGTGTGGGCTCTCATTGATCTGCTTAATGGAGGCTTGTGAGAGATAGATAGAAAGGTGTTTTTATGTGATTTCTAAACTTATTTAGTTGCCTTTTTATATTCCAAAATGGCATGTTTAATTAAAGCAGTAGAGTAAGAAAGTAAATACCCACAAAAGAGACAACTTTGCATTATTTATGAAACATGACTGATAAAACATTTAAGGGGCTCTTGCGGATACAGGAAGTGAAACTCTTGTATTAAATCTCTCTGTAAATCTCTTCTGAGCAGCCATAACTCTGGCTAAATGTTTCCTCCAGATCAGATTAGACTTCTCCCATGATGCCCGGGGAGGACTCTTGGAGCGTTTAGCCAGCTTGTCTGCAAAGAACAACATAATTGCCAAAAAAAAAGCTGTTTCTCTGCAGCTCCAGTGTTTCTATTGGGCTTTTCTTCTCTCTCTTGTTATCCCCTATTCTCTCTGGTGTACTCGAACCACACTTTCAACTTATAAGTTATTTACTGAGAAAAGTTTGGAGAACAAAATAAAGCAGATATGAAGCTGCTGCAGGAACAGGACTGTTGAGTGATGGAGAAAGAGAGCTCGCCCTCAGTGTTAAGCTCAATCCTTTTCTCAGGCTTTTTACCTCGTATCTTTCTGCTGGTTGCCAACGCTCAGAATCCTAATGCTCCTTCCTCGTTGTGTGTTTGCTGGTGTAGTTAGGCTGCCGTCTCCACTTTGTACCTGTGTTTGTGTGTTTGTGCAGTCCGATGTGTGGGTGGATGGTTGTCTGCGTATGTCTTCAGCACTGTGGGAACGGATCCTGGATTTCATTGATTGTAAACAGATGAAATCACCTCAAATCCCTCTTTCTCTTCCTCGTGATACCAAGGCTGTTTAATTGATAAACAAAACAAATAGAAATGAATACAGCCCAGGGGCTTTTTCTAGAAAAATATAATGAGGGTAATACTGTGGCGCTGGTCTTCTATACAAGATATATAAATTCTCCTAAACAGACGCCCGTATACAAGCTGATGATGTGAACAACAATGCTACGTCGGAGCGCCGTAAAACAAAGCTGTCTTTGGGTCTAACATTCTATTTGGCACATTTTTGAGTAATTATACAGTTTTTGACATCACTTTAAAATCGCACGCTGAAAGTAAGAGGGCACATTGCCCGTTACCCGATTTAGACAAATCCCTTCTGCCCACTCGCTAAAGAGACATTTGCTTTGTGTTTATCGTGGCTGTTGATTGTTAAAATATCAGACCTACATGTGCACAAATCACATCTTGCTGTCCCAGATAAGGCTACATTTCAGTTTGATTTTAATTTGTGATATGTATCCTCCAAAACCCAAAATGCAAATTATTGTCCTAAAGCAGGGGTGTCCAACCTTTCTTCATCTGAGAGCTACTTTGAAAAAATGCAAGTGGCCAAGAGCTACTTGCATCACATCGCTTCCATTTATTCACGTAGTATATATATTGGTATAGCCCTCATCAGTTGAATTAAGCTACTTTTGTACACGTGTGAAATTGCAATACCTAAAGCTTATCACAAATCTTAACTTCACATCAAGGTCCAAGAAAACAACATTTTCTCACATATTATTATGGCCCACATAGTAAGTACATCACTGAGAATTCACCTACGTGTCCTTAATCACCACCTTACAAGCATCTTATGGCACATGTGTCAAATAAGTAATTAAATGTTCATCACTCATTCTTGTTCTGTATTTAGATTTCATGACATTCATGTCAGAAAAAGCTGCTTCACAAAGGTATGTAGAACAGAACCAAATAAAGCAGACATGTTCAGTGCTGCTTGGTGAATGTTCTTATAGTTTTCTGGGTCTACAAGGTTCCAGAAATGTTGTGAGTTTTGCTGAGACTTAAGCTGAACATGATTTTGGAGATTTATAACCTCCATCTCCATTGACACTGAACGGTTCAGCCATCTTTTTCTTCTTCTTCTTTGTCTTGACATTCAATTATAAACCTTAATAAATCAATAGGTCTAGCCTCCCTATATCTGTGTGTGAAATTGTTCCATCCTCAAAAACAAAAAACGAATACTTCTGCAGTCTAGCTGCAGCTTCTAGCAACGGTCTTCTGTTAAAAAGGACCCTGAAGGTCCTGAATGGGCATCACAAACATGACTTGAGTCTTAACACAGCAGACAACAGGAGTATTTACAACAGCATTATAAAAACAAAAATAGTGCATGTGGGTGCACACTTACATTCTCTGTCTTACTGTAAGATAAATCCCATGATTGTAGGAGATTAAGTTAGCTTCATCATATCCAGTGTTGGGACTAACGCGTTACGAAGTAACGTGTTACTGTAACGCAACTACTTTTTGCGGTAACTAATAGCGTTACTAGTTACCTATTCCCATTAAGTAACGCCGTTATAGTGACTGTGATTGAAATGGGTGCGTTACTGCGTTACATTATGTGATCCAACTGAACCGAAACACTCTGCAGATGTAATTTACAGGCGAATACAGTGATGTCCTCTCACAGTACCATGGAAAAGTGAAAGTAACCAGAGAGGAGTGATGATTGGTTAACGCGGGGTAACATTTCAGGGTAAGCCAATCAGAGACAGAGTTGGGCGGGTCTTGCCTTATGGGGAAAATACACACACACGAACACTTGCTAATGCTAACACACGCACACGCACACGCACACGCACACGCACACACATACACACACACACACACACACACACACACACGCACGCACACACGCACGCACGCACGCACGCACGCACGCACGCACGC